CAGCCTGCTTGCGTGCAGCCTGGCTGCGCTGGGCCCCTGCCCAGAAGCTTCCTGTAGGCCCAAGGAGGCTGAGCCTCTGACCAAACGAATCAGGCCCAGGGCCACCGACAGTTACCCGTGCCCAACTGCCCGCGGTCTGAGTTGGGTCTATGCTGCGTATCTCGCCCAGGGCCTGACTCAGATGCGTTTGATAAAGAAGTCCAGGGTCTGGGCGCGTCCAACCAACTGACGCTGCGCAACTGCCTGAATTTTCCCCAGTTGCGTAGCAGTCCAAAGAAGCCCTCTTGGGGTCTGTCGTGCCTGCCTTCACTTAGGGCGGCCGACGCTGTTGCAAATAGGGGCCCAGTAGGGCTTATCGAGGCCTTGTGCCTCGCATTCCCCCTCTGAGAAGTTCAGTCTTCGATAATCTGGCGCTTTCCCTTCTGCAGAGACTTCTCATAATGAGCGACTACCTGTGGAGCGGTCTGCATCAGTTCCTCTCTTGTGAACCATCTATCCTCCTTTGGATCAGTGTGATGTCTGAACCGAACTAGATACTGCAGCTTCGGTTTCGGAGGACATCCTCTACCTGTTGGTCTTGGAACTGGCATCTCCATGTGGTCAACAATGTTGTCGATGTCGACTTCTCCATCCATGGTTGGGGGCAGCATTGAGCGACGAGAGGGAAACTGATATGTTTCTTTGAAAGGTGCAAGCTTTGAGGCGTGGAAAACAGGGTAAGTGCGTAAGTGACCAGGAATACGAATCACATAAGATGGTCCATCTGGTTCATCCCCCACAACATCTTGAATCTCCCATGGTCCGAAGTACTGTGGCATGAGCTTACGGGAGATTCCGTACTCCTGTCTCAGTTCTGAGGACTTAACCCAGACTCTTTCTCCTACCTGGAATGTAGATGGGCGGCGGAGTTTGTTCTCAGACTCTATCATCGCCGCCTGTGCCTAGTGCATCTGTTCGACAGCCTGCTGCATCAGTTGCTCATATCGATAAGCAAACTGTATGGTCCCTGGTGCAGCAGATGACTGATTCTCAGGTAGTGGGAAGTCCAAAGGCAGTCTAGGCTTGAAAGTCAGTACCAAGCTGTTCGGGCTTACTCCCGTAGCGCTGTGCACAGCGTTGTTGTACAGACTGGCAATGAGAGCAAGTTTCTCATCCCAGTCTACCTGACTCGGCTTGATGTAATGCCTCAGCAGGTGTTGTACAGCGCGGTTCAACTGCTCTGCCTGCCCATTCGCTTCAGGGTGATTGCTTGATGTCATTTGCAACTGCGTGCCCTGTTCTGCAGCTGCAGCTTTCCACAGTTCACTAGTGAATCGTACATCTCAGTCACTAATGATAGACTTAGGCAGTCCGAAATCTCTGACCCAGTTCTCTTTGAACAGCTTAATGACGTACTCAGTCTTTGCTGTTTCCGGCATTGCAACCAATCTAGCATACTTACTAAGCCTATCCACAATGACAAAGATGTGTCGCATTCCACTCTTGCTGGTGACCAGTGTGTCCATGAAGTCCATGGACAAGCTCTCACCAGGCCTTTCCGGAATCGGAAGGGGCTTGAGGAGCCCAAGAGGGGCCTGTGTACAGGGCTTGTCTCTCTGACAGACCTGGCAAGTCTCTATGTACAGCTTGGCAACTCTCATCATCGTGGGCCACCAGAACCGCTGCAGCAGATTAGCTGCTGTCTTTTCGTAGCCAAAATGGCCGGTGACACTCTCCTAAAAATAAACTACGCAAGGACTCTCTATCTGGCACACACAGACGTTTATTCCCTGCCTTCTCAAGGAACAACAGTCCGTTGACCAACTCAAACTCGGCAGAAGTCACCTTGTCCTTCGCCTCGAGTCTGTGTATGATCTCAAACATGAATTGGTCCTCGCGATAGGCTTCCACCAACGAGCGAGTGACATCGTTCGCGAGCTCCAACCCGAGAAGTCAGGTCTGCGCAACAAGGCATCAGCAACTTTGTTGTACTCTCCTTTGAGATACTGTGGTTCAAAGTCATACTGTTCAATGACTTCGATCCAGCGCTTCAGTGCATCAGAGAGCATTGGTTGGGTTCTCATCCACTTTAGGGTCTGATGATCAGTCCTGGCGATGAAGAACGTCCCAAGGAGATAATGCCTCCAATGGGTCAGTGCCTTGTAGATCGCGTAGAGCTCTTTCTCACAAGTGGACTTAGCCAACTTCTGAGACGGCATCTTCTTGGACATGTACTCGACTGGCCTTAACTTTGGCCCGTCCTGTTGCGCAAGCACGACGCCAATGCCATATTGGTTGGCATCCGTGGTTACTATGAACGGCTTGTCAGGATTTGGAAGTTTTAAGACCTCATGATGCGTAAACACATGCTTCAGATGTCTGAAAGCAGCCTCGCACCTGTCTGTCCACTCCCACGGGGTGTCAAGGAGGGTCAGGTCAATCAAAGGGGCACCACTATGCTATAGTTCTTGACAAAATTGCAGTAGTAGCCGGTCATCCCTAAGAAAGACCTCATCTCAGTCACAGACTGAGGACGCGGCCAGTCACGAATGCTGGCCACCTTCGCGTCATCGGGCTTCAGTCCCTCCGCGAAAACTCATGACCCAAGTACAAGATACAAATGCGGCCAAACTCGCACTTCTCACCGTTGATCTTGAACTTGTGCTGTCCAAGACTAAGGACTTTGTTCAAGTGAGCTACATGCTCCTCGACAGTCCTACTAAAAATAAGTATGTCATCGAGGTACACAATGACAAACTTGTCCAAGTAGTTATGAAATATCCGATTCATAGCGTGCTGAAAGGTGCCAGGAGCATTGCAAAGGCCGAAAGGCATCACCACAAACTCGTACATACCGTACCTTGTCTGAAAAGCGGTTTTGTGTTGATCCTCGGGCCAGATTGCAATCTGATGGTACCCGGACTTCAGATCTATCGTACTGAAGTACCGACACCCTTGCACTCTATCTAGCAAATCGTCGATGCACGGTAGGGGCTCTCTGTTCTTGACAGTGATGGCAATGAGGCCCCTATAGTCAATGCACATCCTCAGTGCTCCCCCCTTCTTCGGTACAAATAGGACTGGAGATCCATAAGAAGAAACACTCGGTCGGATCCATCCCTTCTCTACGGGTTCCATGAGTTGCCAACGAAGCTCATCAAGCTCGCCTGGAGACATCCAATAGATCCTACCCTTCGGGATGCTAGACCCTGGGATAATTTCTATCGCGTGGACAACCTCCCTCTCAACAACCCCTGTAAGTGAGCTACATGCTCCTCGACAGTCCTACTAAAAATAAGTATGTCATCGAGGTACACGATGACAAACTTGTCCAAGTAGTCATGAAATATCCGATTCATAGCGTGCTGAAAGGTGTCAGGAGCATTGCAAAGGCCGAAAGCCATCACCACAAACTCGTACAGACCGTACCTTGTCTGAAAAGCGGTTTTGTGTTGATCCTCGGGCCGGATTGCAATCTGATGGTACCCGGACTTCAGATCTATCGTACTGAAGTACCGACACCCTTGCACTCTATCTAGCAAATCGTCGATGCACGATAGGGGCTCTCTGTTCTTAACAGTGATGGCATTGAGGCCCCTATAGTCAATGCACATCCTCAGTGCCCCCCCTTTCTTCGGTACAAATAGGACTGGAGATCCATAAGGAGAAACACTCGGTCGGATCCATCCCTTCTCTACGAGTTCCATGAGTTGCCAGCGAAGCTCATCAAGCTCGCCTGGAGACATCCAATAGATCCTACCCTTTGGGATGCTAGACCCTGGGATAATTTCTATCGCGTGGACGACCTCCCTCTCAACAACCCCTGTCGGCTCTACAAATAGATCAGGGTACTTAGCAACTACTCCCTCTATCTCTGGCAGCATTTTCACCGGCTTGCTTGCTGCAAAGACATAAACTAGATACATACCCTCCTCCGGATTTTGCTTGTAATAATTATAAAACGTGGCCGCACACATGCATCCGTAGGACTCAATCAAACTACTAGCTCTGAACTTACGTAATTTGGCGGTCCCTCCACCTGGCAAAGTGTGTTTGACCACTTTTTGGTCCCAGTCAAACTGGGGCTATGCCACGGAGAGGTAGTACATACCTAACAGGATATCCATCGGGAGATCATTGCTCACTAGGAACGAGACACGATGTCTCAGTTCCCCTCCCGTGTACGGGAAACAACATTCAACATCCTAGAGGTAGTCGTTGACTACCATGCGCTGTTTGTTGGCACAGGACGACTCCACAGGTCGACTCAGGCACTGCACTCGCCCCTGTAAGCGCAGCCTCTCAACACACGTGCAACTAATGAAGTTCCTAGTCGAGCAAGTGTCATAATAGGCCCCAACCTTGCGGCCGCCGATGACTACCTCGCCGACGAACATATCTCCCTTAGGGGCTTTGGCCAATGCCGTCCAAGAAGCTAGTGGGTCTGATCTAGACCATTCCTCAAGCTCCTCTAAGGATTCAAAAACATTCATCGAACAGAGGCTCGATGGGTCATAATGTGTTTGCGGGACGACTATGGAGTCAGTAGCTTGGGCCATCTCTCGAGATGGTGAGGGTGTGTCCACCACCTCGACCCTAGCAGGACCAGCTACCATTCCTATTGGCCCGACGCGTTTCTTGGAGCAGTGCCAGAACTGCTGGCCACATTGCTACCAACGGGAGCGGAGGATCCCAACGTCTGCCCCATCGTAGGCGGGATCTTCTCGATCACCTTCTTATTTCGGCACTTGAAATGGTTATGGCCGTATTGACCACAACGAATGCAAGCCTGTCGCGTGTACCGATCTTCTTCCCATGCCCTATCTTTGCCTCCAGGTCTAGGGCCTTCTTGCTAAACGAGCGAAAGTTGTGCATATTGATGTTGGCCTCACCTGCCAACTGATTCCTGAGAGGCACAGGAAAGCATCTCAGGTGGGAGGTGAGCAGAACCTGGGGGTCGTAGTGCACCCTAGGGACACAGATCAAACGCTCTACTGCGTCAGTGGCCTCCCTTACTTAAACTGCCTTGTATGGAGCGTCAAGATTGCGTCAGTGGTCTTTTGGGCCTCCTGAGGATCATGCCACCGTTCCACCATCTTGAGAAAGTCCTCCAATTTCTGGTGGGCTGCCCAAGCGCGGAAGTCATGACCGTATCCCTGCAAGTGCACTAAACCACTCAACCATCTTGCTGCACTACCCTCTAGGTAGGATGCAGCCACAAGCACTTCCTCGTGCGGCAAGGTAAGTTTACATTTGACATAACCAGCACTGCCCTCAACCAAGTGTCGAGGTCTTCGCCCCTCTTATCCCCTGTAAAGGGTTTAGGAGCGGCAATGGCCGTCTTTGGTACCCATTGACTTTGTCCCGGTACCTGTACCACTCCGGACTGTGGACCCTGTGGTGCAGGCTGCTGCACTGACGTCTGGGGCTGTGTACCCTGCGGTTGTGCAGGCTGCAAGACAGAATGCTGCCCGCTTACAAGAACCTGTGACAGAGGTTGGAAGAACACTGTCTGTACAGGAACCTGCAAACTAGGACCTGCTGAGAACCCGCCTGTCAAAGGCATACCTAGGGAAACGGGCTGAACCGATGTTGGGGATGTATATGGGGAAACCCCAATCACGGTGGGACAAGAGGAGGAGGATGTACAACGGGCCAGGCACCGGGCCCGGACGGTGATGGTGCCGCCTACACTCGCTCGACTAACACATCCAGACTCTGTTGGATGTCCTGTAAGATCTCCATCTGGTGATCTTGCATCTCTACCACACTTAGCAAGACCGACCGTATGGTCCTCACATCATGCTCCAACTATGCAGGGTCCATCTTCTCTAACTCACTAATGTTTGCTTGCCTCCGCTGCATCCTAGCTCTTCTTCTAATCATCCTTTCTTTTTCTGCCTTAATCTCTCCTAAGGCCTGCTATAGTTGTGCCTCGCGATCAGCAGCTCACTGTATGGCGACCTCCGCGGGAGTCATCACTAACGGCTGGCTCGCCATAACGCCAGTGGACTGACTGAGTCTGTGCAACCGTTGACCCTACAGACTTTGAACTACCGGCTTGGGAACTCTGCTGCGCCGCAATTGCCATGGCTGCTGAAACAGCGGCTTCGCTTGCGAACGCCCTGCTGGCCTCTGCTGTCGTAGCTCTCCTCTGCTGCGGGTGCCTCTCCCTAAGCTAGCGGAACAAAAATCTGTCACCCTCTGGTCCTAAGGCCAAGTGAGCTATCGGGCATCTAGCCGATCGCAAGATCCGGTCGTCCAGTTGTGGGACCTCCCTGTCACTCATAAGCTACAGCACTGTAC